AGAGAGAGAGAGAGAGAGAGAGAGATGACACTGTCTGCAACCCCCTGACTCTCACTTTATAGCAATGGAGGTAGCTAACATGATATGCCTAATAATTAGAGCCACAGATGACATTCATTCTATATTCAGTGCCAGCCAGGACTTTGCATTTATCTCACATTTGTAGCAACTCTACAAAACAAGTGTTACTATGGCTAGATTAGAGGTGAGGCACGGGGCCACTGACAGGTTAAGTAACAGGCTCAACCTCACGTAACACAAGCAGATGGGAGCAGTGGTTCTCAGCTGCTGGACCACAGGCACGCACACAGTCTCTGTTTCTAGTGTTGCACACCTGGGTTGTGAAGCTGACTTTGCCCCTGTGTTTCTTTCCCCCTCAGTGATGCTGTTATTTGCTCTTCTCTAAAAAGATGCTCCCCCTTGATGTTGTTGTTGTTGTTGTGGTGGTGGTGGTGGTGCACGTTTCTTTCCCTCTTTGCCCGAGCTAGAGATAGAACCTAGTGCCCTCCTACTGAGCAACACGATATGGCTGATTACTTACCCAGGTATCTTACTTTACGTGAACCAAGGCTTTATTTTTAAAAGATTTCAATTTTTCATTATTTTCATAAAAGTGATTTCTCAGCTGGGCAGTGGTGGCACACGCCTTTAATCCCAACACTTGGGAGGCAGAGGCAGGCGGATTTCTGAGTTCGAGGTCTACAGAGTGAGTTCCAGGACAGCCAGGGATATACAGAGAAACCCTGTTTTGAAAAACAAACAAAAAAAGGAAAGAGAAAAAAGAAAAAAAAGAAAAAGTGATTTCTCATCATTCCACATTATCTGGAAAACAATAACCCAGTTTTTTTTTTTTTTTTAATGGATAGGAGCCTACTTTAAATCTTCAGAACAGAGCTTTACTTGGGTGTACCTCTGTTTCAAATCCGAATTCCTGCTGCCCAAAACAATAAAACTTCTTCCTGCTATGAAAGAGAAAGGAATTCTGTTTGGATCCAACCAGTTGGATTATTCTGTTGATAGAAGAAATTAAAGGCTCTGGGAACATTGTGGTTCCTGCCCATCGCCCAGTGAACTGGGCTCCACTGTCTTGTGCTATTGATACTCATAAGTTTCGAGTTAATTTTTTTTATCCAAATCATACATAAAACAATTAGTCACCAGGGAGAAGAGTCATGGTTTTCCTAACAGTCTGGTGCTAGAATGAAGACACCCCGCTGGTGAAGGGTGAGTAAGTGGTGAGTTCAGATTCAGCTAAGTTTGTTGGAAGCCATGAAGACTTACCTTACTTACAAGGGGGCTCCTGTTTAAAAAAAAAAAAAAACAGGACAAAAAGAAACAAACGCTACTTCAGAACAAAGAGAGCATGCAACTTAAGAGCCCTTTTCCCTGATTAAAAGAGTTGTCAAGATGCTCCATGCCACAGTTGCCAGAGTAACAAAAATACTAAACAGTGCTCAATGTAAAGTATATGGGAAATATCACACGATGGTTCCTGTTAACCTTCCTATTGTCTTTCTGCTTTTAGATAGATAGATAGATAGATAGATAGATAGATAGATAGATAGATAG